TTAGGTAGCTCAGACCTACATTTTTCTTTTCTTTGTTACTGAACAAAAACTGATTTCTTTCTGGGGGAGTTGGAAAAGCAAGACTTATGTGACCAATATGTTTCCCAACCCTCACACAAGAAAGAGGGCACACCCAAGACTATCAAAAAACAGTCCTGTACCAGTCACTGTGCCAAATGCTTTAAGCTGCTGCTTATTGTGGGCTCATTCAAAATGAAATAAAATAGACCTGCCCCTCCCCCACCAAATACAAAGGCTTCTGGTCTCCAAGCTAAAACACAATTCCGACAAAAATCTTACTATCCCAAAGTTGTTAATATCTTAACCAAAGTATCTTCCATTTTGAGGTGGTGATTTTTTACTTTGGGGTGTGTGTGTGTGTATTTTGTTTGTTTGTTTTATAAAAAGTTACTAAATTAAAGCCAGGCAAATGCTGTTCGTCTTTCTCAGATGACTTCCGATTCTCAGTGGCGCCACTCACCTCCTCCTGTTCACTCTTTATGTGAGTCCCTAATTGCGAGGGGCTCCCAGGTGTGTTGCTTCTCCATGACGATTAGCGCTACGATGATTATCACCATGAATGAGTACCCGCTATTATCTATCTCCTCAAAAAGTTTCGGTTGAGCATTTCGACTTTGAAGATAGACGTCTGTCTCATTGTTTCGTTCACCCCCTTTCTAGCCGGAGGGCTGTAACCTCGCACTTCTTTAATCCACACGTGGGTTTGGAAAATGTGGGGAAAAGAAGAAATGAACCTTGGAGTCGGTTTAGAAATGAGAGGCATGAATTTGGCAGACGTGATGTTTTAAGTTAAGACATGGGGCATAGTTTAGGGAGGTCCTGAGGCAAAAGTGAAAGAAATCGATTTGGTGATGAGGGAATTTTATTCTAGTGAAGTAAGAGGGAAAGACAGAAGGGAGATGAGAGAAGTGCTTTTTTGGAACCACTTGATTTTGTACAGAGCAGGAAAATTATCTACTCTTTGCACTTTGTACCTCCCCCACTGCCATATGCTTCCCTAAAGTTTCCTTTTACCATACTTGAAAGGACCACAGATTTTAATAGTATTCATGCATTTGAAGTGCTAGGCTATTCCCAGCTTCCTCTGTTGTTGCATTTATGATGAGAAGTAATAAAAAAAAAATCCAAGTTATATGATAATGTAAAAAGAAAAGGTTATTTAATGAAAAAAATTTCAGACGAAAAGGCAGTTAAAAAAAAAAAAGGCAGTTGACCTTAAATAAACTGAGGTTCAAGATCACAACCAGATTCAGGGACTAAATTATAGGCCAGTCTCCCTCAGGGTCTGGGCTGATACAATATAGTAGGTTACCACAGGGAACACTAAATTGTAGACGCCCCAGGGGCCTGGACAAGTTGAAACAATGTCATTAAAAGGTCAGATTTACTTACTATGTCTTGAATTCAGATGTAACAGTAAAAGCAGACAGGGTAAAGACAGGGAAAGGCATGACTGTTTACAGAGGAACATTTACAATATACTATGTCTTCGTGTCTGAAACATTGCACTATCATGTGAACGTCAGTTTGTGGGTGTCCAGCGCTCAGAGCCCCCACTTTGTCAAGCAGAGAACTTTTCTTCCTCTTTGTGGGGAAACTATGTTGTTGCCAAAGGGCAGAGAGCAAGACAGGAGGCAGCTGATGGGGACACTGAGGGTGCATGCTGGGGTGGAGGGGCATGGCAAACCAGGGGGCATATGCAACCTATTATTCCCACCAAGACAAAGGCTGTTTCTGTGACCTCTGGTTTCCATAACCCTCTACCCAAACTGCTTTTCCCTTTCAGATCTTCTCTATAGGATCGTTTAAAGTGGTATTTGTGAAGCTAACGTTGGGGGGTGGTGGAGCAGCAGGGCTGGAGGAGGGGAAGGGGAAGGGAAGGTGAGCAGTGCCTCAGCCCCATAGCTTCTGACCCTGAACTCATACTCCCTTAGGGACCAGTCGTCTCCCCATTTCTGGAAGGGAGGCGGGGCGAACAGGCAGGCTTTGGAGCAGACAGACTTCTTTCCCAACCTTGCCTCTATTTCTTACTGTTGTGTGGTCTGGGATGTATTTTTTAAACACCTTTGATGTCAGTTTCCTTATTCATCAAATGAGTTTTAACACGGTTGTTTCGTTTTACGGATTAGAAATCACGTGTATAAGTGACTGGTACGGAGTAGGTGATGGATAAACGTAATGCCTCTCGTTGCATTGACTGCAAGACCCAGAGTCAGCAACGCCTTTGTTTCTGCCTTTTATCTTTGGTTCCAAGATCACACTCTACCCACAGAACAGATGCTCAGACTGGAAATAGCTCTACTTGCTCCTGCTTGTCCCTTCTTTTTCGCAGTTTCGCAGCAAATGGCAGCCACCGGCAGTTCCACTGTCTTGGGGGGTGCGTGGATAAAGTAAAGAAAAGATGCGGGGAGTTGGCAGCCGCTCAGTAGCAAACACCCCAGCGCGGTCCTCTCTCTCCTTTTCCCCCATCCATTCTCAGGCCATTCCCAACAGCAACCAGGGTTCCTGGGCCCACAGTGCCCCCTGATGGCTAACGTGCGGAACTTTCTTTACTCAGTGATTCTTCTCAGTGAAACTCCCCCAGGCTTTGTTCATTCCATCATGGACTACTCACTTCTCACAAATGTTCGGCGGGCTCCTCTGCGTTGCCTTTTTTTTTTTTTTTTTTTTTATTTTTTGCTCAATTATTTCAGAGACATTGTTTCCCTTCCTGTTTCTTTCCTTTGTTTTTGTTCCGTTTACGAATCTTCAAATTACTGTAGTTATGGTTGCTAAGATTAACAGTAAAATGATTGCATCCGTCTATCAAGAATAAAGCCTGATACACTTAGAAGAAAAATAAGACATCGTGTAGAATCAGCAGTAGTAAAAATCTCTAAAGCTCTTTGAGACATCCAGACATCTTTTTCAGAACCTGGACAATGCCATCTACCCGCACTCTTTATCCGAGTGATACTGATCTTTACTCGAAGCTCTTTTAGTATTTCCTATTTATTTATTTGCCACGACTGTATTAGTTTGTGCCCTACAGATTCATTATAAATATAGTTCATCCACGATAGGGGTCAAGCGAATTCCTGTGGGCTATTCTGGAAACCGAAGTACAATCTTTCAGCATGAGTTCTCTATGGGAAGATGAATTCAAAGCTCCAAACAGTCATTTTTGAATGAACTTTTGGAAAAGTTACCCTATTGTAATTTAACATTGGAAATTTGGGGTTGGGAGCTGTCAGTTTATAAAAGTCATATTGTCTTCTCTGGTTTTCATCTATTAAACCATGACATTGCCTGGAATTAGTACTTACAAAGGCAATCAGGTATGACTTATCTGGGCAGGCAATGATTCTTCCTTTATTAAAGAAAAAATATACTAACCAGATCCTGCTTTGATATGTTATAGGAATGTTCTAGAAGGTTATTAAATTCATGTTCATAACTCTAGATTGTTTCTTGATAAAAGTAAATCAAACATGCCTCAAAATGTAAATGCTTGCTACCTCCACTTAAATTCAAATAATACCAATGATCTGTGTTTTTTATAAAGGCTTAATTTAAAACACTTTTTAAAATACAAATGATTTCGACATGGATTATTAAAATGCCATTAATTTTGTGCTTAATTTCTCTGATTTAAGAAATTTATTCTCAACCGAGAAGTTAGGAACTAGAAAGCATCTAAAATCCTGATTAAACATCCAATTGAAAGATTTCTTTAGCAAATTAACATCAAGTGGCTTAATTTTTCCAGTTTCCAATAGTTACACTTAAAAGTAAAGGCTTATAAAAATTGACATGAAATAACTGATTTATTTAATAAAAGGGTAAATGAGCTATTGTGACCATTTATAGACACATATGAAAAACATAATTTTAAAATCCTTTTATATAATATTTTCCTAATTAGGTTATAACTCAAGGTAATGCTTATACAGTATTTCTTTCCTTTGAAATTATTTCCATATTCATAGAATTGCAATTATTTTTCCTTTAAAATAAAAAATGCAAATCAAAGTAACAGGTAAATGCCACCTATTGAATTTCATTAAAATTTTGTGAAAATGGATTTTCTGCATAAATTCTAAATGCACACTAATATCACAATAACGAAGAATGATGTCATAAAACAGTCGTGTGGTGCAAAAGGTATGTTAAATGCTTGCTCATCAAAGAACATTATTTGAGTCGACATGTTCACATTTTTCTGAAAAGAGGTATTTACCTTCTGATAATGTATACCTTTTGAATTCATAAAGTTTTAGAGGTACAAATTAAAACATCCAGCGTTAACGTTTTTGAAAGCATTACGTTTAAATTATTTTCTCAGGACCCAAAGAGAAAACACCAGAGGAAACATAACCAGCCTGAATTGTTTAAAATGTATTTTCCCTTTAATTAAATAGGAAACATCTGTTTAGGGATTTTGGCAATGAATGTGATCCATCCACACTCTGCCTGTACTAGTTTGCATCCAATGCCCAATATTTTGAAAGAAAACTCTTTCTTTCTGTAAAGAATTAAACAATAACATGGAGCGATGTCTGCGTCTGTAGCAGCTGAGTTTTGCCTCCAGAGTTTGGGCACTGGTGATGCGAAGGGTCCATCTTTCCCCCATTTACCAAAGATGGACCCTTAGCATTACCAGTGCTCAAGGTTAGCGTGTAACTATTTGTACTTCTCCTAAGCGTTCACTCCTCCCGAAAATGCTCACCTCAGGACAGCAAGGAAACAGGAGTTACTAGGATGCACGTAAATACTCCGGGTCAAAATATTGTTCCCTCTCTGGGATTCACTCAGCATTTTCCTCCCACTCATGTTTAAAAAAAAAAAAAAAAACTGATTTCTCTAGGGATCCGCACAGCCCACAACACAGACCCCCCCAGACAGGCCAAATGAGTACAAAGAGAACGTGGAGTTGACTCCAGGACGGGTCTGGTCTTTGAAACCGGGGTCCACAGTTGAGAATGACAAATATCACTTACTGGTGTTGTCAAACGGGATCTGCTTGCACTGCGCAGACCCCTCGGCGGGCCAGGGACAGTAATAGACGGCGCCCCCTTCCACGATGTCCGGCTGGCTGGTGTTGGCTCTGGGCGCCCCCACCAACACACTCGCTCTGCGAAAAAGGTTGGAGAGAATCACTGGGTGGGAATCCCCAAAGCGCGCGCCTGCGACGCCGTCTCCAGCCGCTCGCCCACGCGGGGGGCGCGGGCAGCAACGTTATTTCAGAGAGAGACCGCCCGTCAAACTTTGATTTCCTCTTGGAAACCTACCGGCGTCTGAAACCTGGTTTGGAAGAGAAGGCAAACAGTCCTAATTCTTCTCTAGGTGGAGCTGTATATACAGTGAGCTGAGAGAGGAAGGGAGAAAAAAAGGAAAAAGCCAAGGACAGAGCCCAGCTGCCTGCAGCAGACAGCACTTGCGCCCAGACACCTAATTGTTAGAGGCTCTGTATAAACAGACCGTGGCGTGGTCGTTGGTTTAACTGGTTTGAGTCTGCTCAGTCTCGCGTTCCCCCTTTGCACGATGCTCGGGAAGTCCCCGGGACCTGCGCGCTCTTCGCGAGTGGCAGGTCTCTAGTTCAGAGCGCGCAGGGCGCATCACATCCAGCCCCCAAGCGGAGAGAAGAGGCTGGCGGCGGGGACCGGACGGGACGGGCCCCCAAGTGGGCAGCGGGAGGGAATCTCAGGAGTCATCTCACATCAGGCTGCGGGACAGGCCGGGTGCCCCGGCAGAGGGTCAGGGACCCCGCCTGTGGCGGGGTTCGCCCACGCGCGCAGACCCCGGGGCGCGGGCGACTTACGTGTGAGCCGCAGGTATGTGGAAGTCCACCGCGTAGCCGAAGTAGCTGCCCTCGGGGCCGCTGTACACGGTGAGCTGGTCCACATCCAAGTTGAACGCCTGCGAGGCGGGGGACCACAGCATCCCCAGCGCGGCCGAGAGGCAGCAGAAGGGCGCGAGCGGCTGCCCCGGGCTGACCCTGAGAGCGCGGCGGGCCC